TCGATATATCGATTATCAAACTATCGATATATCGATTATCGACCTATCGATATATTGAACTATCGATATATCGATCTCTCGAACTTCGATATATCGATCTATTGAACAATCGATATATCGAACTATCGAAAAATCGATATATCCATCTATCGATCTATCGATACAAAAATAATATTTAAAGAAATAATATTTTTTTTAATTATATAACATTATTGTAAAAATTACTTCAATTACATTACTTCACAATATTATAGGAAAGAAATTGATTTAATTTTGATAAGTATTCTCACACTTTAACGTTGAATAACTTGTGACCTTTTCAAGATATTTTACTCATTCTATTCAAGGTCAACTAAAAATTAAAAAAAAAAACGTGAGTTAAAAAATTTGATAAGTTTGCAATTTAATATTTCATTTTCTTCTCCTTACTGCAATAATAATAGAAGAAAAATATCGAATACCGTGTGTAACCAACCAACCAACCAACCAACCAACCAAGCAACCCTCCATCATGTAATAATGAAAAAAAAACGTTAGAAACGGGGAAGTTAGGTAATGGTGGTGGTAGTAGTAGTGTAAAAAGAAAAATCGACGTAGTAACATTGGTCGCGCGTTAAAGCCAGAAAAGTGACGCACTTACCCTTAAGTGATTGATGTTCGTGACGTCGTCGAACGAAGAATAAAAGGACCAAAGTAGATGAGTTTTTAACGTGCAAACGAAGTATAAGATGATCGGTAGTACGTTGTTATCGATATAACGAGAATATATGGGAAAGAATTAATATGATTTATGAATGAATTATATTCCTAACAAAATTCAACTTACTTTTTTTAACTGAAAACTCCTTTAGAATGGGTGTGATTTGAAAAAATTTAACGGATCGGTAGACGGCTATGAAATGGAGCGGTAGGCGGCTATGAAACGGAGCGGTAGGCGGCTATGTAACGGAGCGGTGGGAGACGATGAAATGGCCTCCATACTAAATAAGAAGAGAATACAATTATCCTACACCAGATATTTTGTATTCGTCTCATTCTCTCGAAACTTTGTTTTTTGAAGATTGCACTTCTAATTTTTAAACAATAATACAAAATTTTATTGTCTTCAACGATATAATAAAAATAATAATAATAATTCTTCTTTGATTTGTCTCCTATGCAATATTGACTAACATTATTATTTTTATTATTATTATTATTATTATTATTATTATTATTATTATTATTATTATTATTATTATTATTATTATTATTATTATTATT